GTCATGGAACGCATAAATAAATAAATAAATTAAATAAATAAATAGAATAGTTGGGTATGGTCAGCTGATCCTACTGATCTACTCTGCTTCAAGTTTGTGCTCCAAAAATAGGCGCAAGAGTTGTTTGAATCATCGCGAATTTCGCCGCGCAATTTGCCGCGCGCACCCGGAATCGCACGAATCGCACGTCCCCCAAAAATCCCACCTTTGTCACCAATACTGCTAGACGGTGTCGCTTTCTGCTCGCTTATATCCAGCATCCCTGCAAAGATACAAACCATAACAGCAGATTTCGAAATCAATGTGATATCATATTTACAGATTCTTCAACCGATTTCAGACCCTTTACTTTTTATTGTTCACACCACGTTGATCCCAAACTGTACCATGGCCAGTTTTTTTTATAATTTGAGTTGTCGCCCCTTTGTTGGAATTGCGGCGTCTTCTGCGGTGTCCTTGAATTCGGTAGGTAGGTCCCTCTTCATCATGTTCATCCTATTTTCGGAACTTCTCGTGCTCCTGGAGTTTGAGGATCACGTTTTTCTCTCCAGATGATACTACACTGGTTAGTACACCCCTTCTTGGAGCGTAGTGCAGCAAAGCCAATCGCAAAGAACACCAGTGAATCATGTTGCTCATCAAGGCCTTCACGCTCATTGCCTAGGTCGCTCTCCTTGTGTTAGAATGCTTGCACTCTCATGCGATGCTGTCTCCAAGGCTGTCTATCGCTTTGCACAATCCTCGTAGCCGGCGAATCCAGCTTTATGCGACATGCCAAGGCCCATTCCCTCCATTTTATTGGCCTTGTCCTGGACATTCACCGGTATAAGGTGCTGTAGAAATGAAGTTTGGGTGGGAGTGACCTTCAGTGGTCCAGTCATAAGTCGTCCAATATCAGTGGGAAGAGGAACGCGTTCAAAGTTGTTCTTTGATGAAACACAATCGTGAATTCTATTACTACTCTGTTGTCAAGCCCTGCGGTGTGCTTAGAGCCTTGTTCTATCTTTGTACGAGCATTGAACAGGTTCCATAGATTGGGTTATCCGAAATTTCACGTTTCCAGAGCAGTACTTGCAACTGAAAGTGGAGCACCTTCTACAGAATGGTAGAGATTGAGTAGGAGACTTTGCACATTACTCGGTTCTTCTCCGTCGTTCATCGTGCTCTCAATATGGCATCCTTTGCAAATTTTCAGACATGTAGGTGATTGAAATCCTTCCTAGTGATTGAGACCAAATTCCTGAATTTTGAGTTGACTGATCGTTCGCGAACATTGTGTTCTGACCATAGTTCTCCATCAGTCAGGCTACCGACTCAGGCCCTATTACGGTCCGGCACCATTCTTCTGACTTTCCCAAGGATGGTACCTGCCTTTGCAGGGAATGAACCCGTAGACATTCGGCTATCCCATTATGGTCGATATTTCTTCTCTGCCGAGTTTGTGGTACTCAATTTTATCGAAGTAGTCTCCCTAGGAAGTCGAAGAGTCCTGATGCAATAAATTTTGAATTGCTATACTGAAGCGTTTTGTCTTAGTTTCTTTTTCTCATTCGAAATCATTCACGTACATTTCTGTTCTATGTTTACGTGAATTCAGTGAAAATATATGCAGACATTGAAATCTTTGCATTGCATACATATCATACAAACATCATACGCGATCACATACCAAGTGCACTTGCTGGTGATGGAATCGATAGTATAGAGTCTTCATCGACAACCGTTCGTTCAATTAAATCGGAAATTGGTGAAGCCACCACACCCGTAATGATTGACAGCGTTATGGTGTAGAAGTCACATTTCATCTGATAAACAATCATCTAGATAAGGAGAACAAGTGTGGACTTGAACAAAAACGATTTTAAAGAAAAGCCATTGCCCATTACAAATAAAAATCGAAAAAAAAATGGGAAAAGAAGGAAATGGGTACTAAAATGACATATAGATTACCTAAGAATGAGTCAACAAATAAACAAGTTCACCTGTTCGGCCACAGTATGGTATGATTTGAACGCTGTGCAGTAAACAACGTGATGCGTCTAGCACTTTCAGCGTGAGGAATGACTCAGAAGTACGTCATAACGAAAATTTCATCTCGAAGAGAGTCACAGGGGGAGCCTAACAAAGCCGATTACCACCAAGACTATATGGCCACTGATAAGGGCTTATACAGGCACTTTGTTAGAGAAATTGACATGGAATTGTGGATGTTTGAGCCATTTTTCAGCTAAAGTAAAACGTGCTGAAGGGATCTTCAGTGGAGCGAACGGCTAGTTGAGAAATTCGTTCACGTGTCACATATAATGGTTTCGCACTGTTTTTCTTACAGTAAAATTTTTGTCTGAGGGCACACGACAATCGATCCGCTCTCCTGCCGTTTTCAACTAAAAAAATTCCCACCCGATCATTCAATCATGAGATCAGCATGAAGATTTATGCACGTACAAAAAAAAGCGCCGACCTGCCCGGACTGAAGGGGACGCTATATTGTGTTTGGCAACAAAGAAAGTTCTCTTTTTAATAAGCAAGTACGGAGGATCTGGAGAAAAGGGTTATTAAATTGCTTCTATGCAAATCCATGCAGACTATACAGCCCCTGACACAATGAAGTGAGTACAGCTTAAGATCGGTATCCGATCTTCCTGCTCTAGGTCTAGGCTTCGAAGAGAAAAAAGCTCAGGATTAAGGAAACATCGAAATCCTGAAAATGACTGCACCTGCAACTAGATTTAGATAATCAGTAGTCATGTTTTACGCATAGTTCATGGACTATAGTATGTAGGGAGCCTGTTGAGGGATGCGCCCCGTATTTGGCTCTAATCGGAATAGTAGTGGAGTTTAATGTGTTGATGGCCTAGACAATAACTTGTGGTGCTCATCCAATGGACAAGTCAGTACTTTTTTGGTATCAATTAACCGTCCTAGGAGTGACGG